TTTAAGGCTCAGGATTGAGGAGAGTTCTTAATAGGTGTCACGTTGCATGTCAGCACACAGTTCCTACTGAACCAAGGGACACATCCTCCTGGAACTTTTCCTGTAGCATTCAGTAGTTCGCAGTATTAAAGCCCCTGTCATTACTTTAAAAAAATAACTCTAGTGTGCTGCCCACAGGGCTGCTAGTGAAAAGAAGGTCATGTATTAATGGAAAAAAAAAAAGGGGGGGGGGGCGTATTCTAACCTACCTGAGCACGTTGATTTGTTGTTTAATGGCATGGACAGGTGTATTTGTCAAAATCTGCCAAGTGATTATGAAGTCATTGAGACAAGTTGAAAGGTCCATTATTCAAATCTTTCCTAGAAAGATTTCACTATTATTTTGATACAATTATATTGTATCCGAATTCTAGATGGAGTGGAAGCAACTGGTTTCAAAGATACAATTATACAGACAGTGGTTACAATGTCTATCTGAGACCCTGAGTGGTTCCCTTCATATGTGAATACTGCTAAAAAACAGTCTCATTAAATTTTTAGAAGCCTTACTTTGTTTCAGCTTAGAACAAAGCCTATACATAGATTCAAAGACCAGTTGCTTCTTTTTCTAAAGCTTCCAGTTTTTACCCTTTTATCTTAATAAATAATACCACAAAAATGCTTATTTGAAGACATTTTGATATTCCACGTAGAGCAGAACTACTTTTCTCATTTACTGTTTGCAATTTCTACACTGCGCTGAAAGCCAAATGATTTTTTTAGCCCCAAATGCTTAAATCTGCAGAATTTCAAAAGAAAATCTAATATTTTGTTTTACTCTTGCTTTTTTTAAACCTGTTAGTTAAAAAAAAGTAGTTAGAGAGGCTTTTGATACGAAGGTTTCAGAATGTGTGTTTAATTACTGTATCCTCTGCTAGGCCTTGTCTATACACAGACTTGCAATGGTGTTATTTTAAACTGATTTAGTTAAATTAGGGCAAACTTATGTGTGGACACACTTATATCAGTTTAAAACTAATTACATGAGGTTAGCTTGTGCCTGTAAATTTATGAACAATAAACTAAACGGACGTAAGTACATTCACATAGAATTTTGCACCTATTTAACTAAATCAACTTAAAAGTCACACCGTTAGTTAAACTGCTGCATCTGTATGTGTAGACCAAGCCTTAACCTGATATGAATGTGTCCACACAGCAGTTCCATTGTCACTGTGTTCTTGGTTGGGGGCTGTCCCAAGATTCTTTTGGTCTCAATCAAACCATTTGAGACAAGACACAATAATACGATGGGACCACACATCAGGCTCAACTATTACAGGAAGTTACATCAGAGAATTTTATGTTGTTTGAAAGATTTGGAGATGAAGTGTTGGCAGCTCTAAATGAGAAATGCCTTAGACCTGCTATCAATTAGCTTTACTATTCTTAAGTACTGTTCCCCAGGTTCAAATGCTTACATTTAAATTGACAGAAGTAATTAACAATGGAATATAAGAGGGTCTAATATGGGTCCTCTGTCTGTTAGTGATCCCTTGTGGCAGGATGGGGAATTACACCACTTTACTCTGTTCCCCTTTATGCTGCCACTTTCAATTCTGTGTTTGTCAAGTCCCTGTTGTGACCCAGCCCTCTGGTCAGGTTAGTAATCACCTCTGCCCCCTTCAGGGAGCTAGAGAACCCTAGGTCTCCTGAGTTTAAATAATTTGTCTCCAGAGTTCTTGGTGGGAGTAGGTATGGGGACCCAGCCCCACACCCACTCCACTGGGTTCCAACTCAGGGCCCTTGTTTGGAACAATCAAAACCAATCCTTCTCAGTCTCATGCTGCTCTCTGAGCTACTTCCTACCTCTTCTCTTCTGTAGGCTTCCCCTGCCCTGCTTCTCCTTCTTTCAAGTGGTGGCTTCTCTGACAGCTTCTCCTATCTGCTGGAGGAGTCTCCTCTCTGCAATCTCTCTGGCAGCTTCCTTTCTCCGCAAGAGTTCACCCTCACACAGCAGTAGCCTTTAGTCATGCACAGGGCCTCCCCTGCCTAATTAAATGCCTCCCAGTTACTCAGTGAGTTAACTACTCAGAGGTGAACCTGAGCTGCCTTATTCCCACTTGTGGAGCCTGTCAGAGGTAGGCTGAGCCCTTGACTCCTAGAGGGGCAGCTTCCCTCTCACAGAATCTCATAACAAAGAAATAGAAAGTTATTTAAAGGGAGGTCACATAGGTTTTCAGTGTACACATAATCGAACTCTCTAAATTGTTCACCAGCACTGCCCTGACAGGCGCATTCTGGCCCACCTAGGTGCATGGGGTCATGTCCCTTCTGGTCAGTCATCAGTCCTGATGATATAATCAGTTCTTTGCTCATTAGTGCTAAAATTGCATAATACCAGTTCAGACTCCCCAGACTCTAGAGATCTCATAAATTATCCATCCACCTACTCTCCCATGCTGTGTTAGAGCAGAGGACTGAAAATCAAGAATGCTGGGTTCTATATTCCTGACTCTGCCACTGACAAATTGTGACCTTAGGAAAGTCATTAACTCCCTCTGTGCCACAATTTACCCATGTATTAAGGGAAAAATTCCTTTATTTTCTCAGAGGAATGCTATTATTTATACAGTGCTTCAAATATCCTCAGATAAAAGGTGCTACATAAATGCAAGTTTTTACGCTTCTTTCTGCTTACATATGCCTTCAAAAATAATATACTGAAATGCTGTGATTCTGAGACAAAATAAAACTGTACTTTACTTAGAACTGTCAGACCTGCACAGTGAATGTCAATGCTTCAGATGACGGCATAACCAAACCTCCCTATTTGTTCAATACTGTACCACGGGGGGATTTTTTTTCTTAACTCTAGTGGTGATCATGTCTAATACCGTGGGGACTAATATGCCTCGCAAGTATATCCCTGCTTGCAGATGCTATTATTGTATCAGTAACAAAATTATAGTTACTATTAATAAAATGAAAATACTACTATTATTTTGCACATATATATCACCCTTGATCTGAAGATATCTAAACCTTCATGTACAGGACTGGGCAAAATTCCTAGTGACTTCAATGGGACCAGGGTTTCATCCTTGGTCTCCTGCTTCTCTCTGTTTCCATTTCTTAAAATCAAACTCATGTGGCTAATGCTCAGAACAAGATGACTTAAGACCCCGAAAGATACCTGATCACATCACTCTCCCCTCTCTATGTAGCTGTTCCAGAGCTTAGATGGCTGGGAACATTCCTTAGAAAGATTATAGGAAGGATTTATGCTTGCTTATTTTGCATAGTGTACATCAATGCTAGAGTCCTAGATATTTTCTGCTGAGCTTACATGGACATGTTCACTGAAAGTTTCAATATTTTTGACAAGCAACTCCCTATAATGTTTTATATATTTACATTATAGGGAGTTGCTTGTCAAAAATATTGAAACTTTCAGTGAACATGTCCATGTAAGCTCAGCAGAAAATATCTAGGACTCTAGCATTGTTCGCTTGATATACACTATGCAAAATAAGCAAGCAATATATATATATATATACACACACACACACAATCAAATATATAGCTCAATGCATTTAACTTCTTCATCACTTCTGTAAACTTTTAGATTTTTGTTAAAGTTTATCTCAGAGCACAAGTCAGGCAAATAGTTCCCAATCAGTAATATATTAACTGAATATTAGTCCCTTTCTGCTCATAGAACATCTATGAGCAGATAATGATTTCCTTGAATTCACATATTACTTGAAATAATTCAACCATCTTTTTTAATATACTCTATTAAGTGAATGCAAACATTTAAAAATCAAATTGTGCTGCTTAGTTGTCAGATAAGTCACATAGCATTATTTCTGGTTGTTTCTTTTCCCTGTGATTACAAATGCACAAGCACAATTCTGGCACAATTACCTGGACAGGAGAATTTAAAATTCAGTCCTGTGAATATTCAATATCAAAACTCTGACATTTGCTTTCTGCAGATATCTGTGCCAGTATCTGAATAGTCTGAATATTCAAAGAAAGTGAACACAAGGGGCACAAGCCTGAATGAAACATATTCATATGACATAATGAAGGATATCCAATATGACAGCCACACAGAAGAAATTCCAACAAAGCAAGTGTGAAATTTTGTCATTTGCCTTAAGCGCAAATACTTAGCAATAGGGTTGGGAGAAAAGGTTTGGAATAAATAGGAACCATATAATTCACCCAGACCTTCATCCAAAATTCAAACTGGATACAAAATAAAGCTTTCCTGTGGTTTATAAAAGTATGTTTGTTTGTTATTGTTGGGTTTTTTTCCATTTTACGTGCATCTGCAATTTTGAGTTAATACTGAATGCTGAGAAAGCACAATAAAGACAATTCTGTTGGTATTTCTGGTCTGACCAAAAGCAACAGGTACCAAGAATCTCACTAGAGATGTCACATTTGCAATTCCAAAAGGTTGAGTACGCTTTGGAAAAACCTCAGAACTTTCTTACACGATTTTCTCTCCTTAGAAAAGGCTTGTAACTTTTTTGGGGGAGGGGACATCTTCTCAAAAGCACTGAGTGTGGGACCCTGCTATCCACATAACAGAGGTTCCACAAATCATTTTTTGCTGCCAATAAAGTTCAGTGCAACTCTCTGATGTTTCTCAGGAGGGGGTGAGAGCAACTAAAGCAAAACTAATATTTTAATGAGACTGCTAGAGGAATGAATAATTCAGCATAAAATACCAGAATATGCAATTGGCAGTCACCGGCTTCAATATGTTTGATGATGTAAGGCCAGGCGACACCAGTGTCTTTTTTCATTCCTTTCTTTTTGCTAGGCAGGGCATTTTTCTGTTTTTACGTACATTCCCAAGTAAGTGAATGCATATGTACAAAGTCAAGGAGTGAACAGCAGCAATAACAGGAAGTTTTTCTCCCAAAGAAAATGCAACTAGAAATGGTTCCAGAACCGAGAGACATCTTCCCTTAATCCCTATTCCATCCTCTCCTGAATCTTACCTTTGCGAGAAGACGTCTCTGTAGGGGCTGCCATGCTGGAGTGCAATTCCATATCCCCTGTCTGCGACAGTGTTCCCAACTGTGTAAAAGGAGCAGTCTGGGTCATTGATGGCCACGTATTCCAGAACTGCTGCATCCCACACAAAGGCGTAGTTCCCATATTTCACCTGTAGCAAATAGAAGAAGAGCTTAAGGCTGCAGCTTGTCAACTTCAAAACAAGGCAGTTGTGACCAAAACTTGTTACCATCTGAAGGCTGTGTGATTAAAAAAATGTTGGGGTTTCAGTCCAGTTCCCAGCAGTTACGTGTCTATATCCCCCAAACCACTGCCACAGCTGATGCGGGTTGATGCTTTTGTTTGTAGATGCAGCAGGCATGCTAGGAACTGAATGTGAACTGAAAACAATTTGCCCTCAGGGATGAGGCATGCGGGTGGAGAATTTGGGATAAGCTTATACTCTTCCTGTTCAGTGTATAAATGGAGGACTTCAGTCCCCCGGGCTATCAATTGGGCACCTTTCACCTGTGCTAAATTCACACAGTGTAGATATGTGTGGGTGAGAGAGAATCAATGTAGTTCCTATTTTACTCCCTTCACACTTCTGACCAACCCTCTGGTCCTGGTGAAAGGATCATTTTATGGTGAAGGCAATGGATTGAGACTGAGGAGAACTGTCATCAATTCTCAGCTCTGCCACTGATTCCATGTATGACCTTGGACATGTCACTTGGTAACGGATCTTCAAAAAAGCACTACTCTCATTTAGGCACCAACATGGAGTGGCCAGATTTTCAAAAGTGCTCAAAGGGAGCTGCAGGGTACTGAGCACTTTTGAAAATCTGGCTATTTATCTCTGTCTTAATTCCATATCTGTAAAATGGTAATTCCCTGCTTCAGAAGGATACCATGAGAATAAATTTATTAATATTTGTGAGGTGCTCAGAGGCTATGGTGATTGGAACTAGATAAGTATCTAGATAGAAAATTTGCTTCAGTGATCTGAAACAAGACTCTTTTAAAGAGAAGCATTGCTATACAGATATATTTCCCCTGCATTAAAAAATGAAACAAAAACACAGTAGCAGCTCTGTGTTTCATTGTCAAGACTGACCATGACTGGCATATCACAATACCATTCCAATGAAAGCTCCACTTAGACCACACTAATGGAAAGATTTCTTCCTTAAGTTATACTAATGAAAAATTATGTGCCTTGCCCACCCTGCTGTCGAATCTGCTAGGTTGTAGGTAAATCTTACATGGGCAGTTCATGCAGCCTATTTTACTAGTGATTGCAGCTGCGTTAACATAGCTTTCTTGCTCAGAGTTTTAGCCAAACAATTAAATGATTGTTTTTCTGAAGATTATTTTATCATCCAGGGTGATGGAGCTCTCGGAAGTATCGTTGACTAGCCCTGGTGTTTCTGGCATTACTTTATGCACTTTTGTTGTCTGTGTGAAGCACTTGGGCCAGCAGATGTGAATCGCCACAATTGTGACTGAATCTGCAATTGTAATTGCCATCCAAAACCTTTGTTAATCTGCCAGGACATATCACTCCTCACAGCAGCAGCACTATTAATACTAGGTGGCCCATTTGTCCAAGACATAAATGGCACTGGCACATGTAATATAATTAGCTTTACCTAGAGAGGAACATACATTCTGTCTCACTCCTCAGCTGGGTCCATATCATGAATTGATCCTAGTGCCTGCGTACACAAGAACGTAGCAGCAGTTGAACTTAAAGCTGCGTGGATACTCTTATTTTGGTTTATACCGGGTTTATTTTGGTTTACCTTAATAAATTAGGAAAAGATTTAACTAATCTAAAAGAATTCTCATTTAGACCAAAATAAGGGGGCTTGCACCTGTTTAATTAAAATTGTAAAAAAAACAACAAAAAACTGATTTAAATTAAACTGCTACAATTTGGGGATGTAAAGAAGACTGTAGTATCTAAACACAAGCATTACTCCTATAAGGAGAGGATACATCCCACGTCATATCCACCACTATAGCAACTTCCTACATTAAATTACACACACATACTATGTTAAAGATCATTACTAAGGTTATAAAGTCAAACACTCAAAAGTTAGGAAATGCCAGACATAAGGTTGCCTTCTTTTTGTGGGTAATCTCCTAGGCTTTAAAAAAAACAAATTGAACCCTGTCCCAGAAATTCCATCATGTTGACACCCAAATGGTTCATTAGCAGGCTTGGAGCTTTTAGATCCACTGTACTGGCCCTTGCCACTTGACTTAATGGAGTAACTGATAGAGGATTGCTCTGTGGGTTAGTGCTAGAGAAAGAGGAGACATGCACTTGCCAATGGGATTCACAGATATTTGATGAGCAGAGGAATGATGAAACTCAGAAATTTTGGGTTCCATTCCAGGGGCTGGAAGGGATTTTGTTCTAATCCAGGGTTTCTCCACTTGGATCATGACTCAAAACTAGGTCACCAGAATGTGTCAAAGGATCACAGAGCTGGCTTTACTCAGCTCCCTGCTCCAGGAGTTGCGAACTGCTGCATGGGGTCACAGTGCCACTCAGATATGGCCCAGCCACCCTTACATCATGATGGCAGGGGGCCAGCCTGGCTAAATTTGAGTAAGTGGTGCTGTGACCCCATGCACCAAGTCACAATACCACTCTCACAAATTTGGCCTGGCCAGCCCCGCCATTAGGTCAATCCCTGAAGCGGGGAGCCAAACCCAGCCAGCCTTGCAGGAGAGGAGACGGGAGGTAGTGGTTGGTGTTACATTTCCCAGTAAGTACTGGTTCCCTGACATATCCTCTGCCCCTCAGCCGAGTGACACCCCATCTTCCATGCCCCCTGTCCCACCCCCCAGCTTGGGCCCCTCGATGTATCCCCAATCCCAAAGCTGTGTGACTCTCCCTCTGTCAGACCATCCATCTTGGCCCCCAGCACCCCAGATCTTCCTCCACTGCAACCCCCAGCCCCTTCTGCCCCCAACTCCTTTCCCCAGCCCCCCCACATATTCCACAGGAACCCAAATCCCCCATCCCTTTACCCTCTGCTCCCTATGTATCATGTGTGGGGTCTGTGTGGTTTTTTTGGGAGTTATCAGCTTGCCATGTGCCCCCGACCTCTCTGCCCCCATATTCTTTCCCCAGTCTCCCACTTCACTCCCACACCCCTCCGTCCCTCAGTTTGTTCCTCAGCAACCCTCAAATCACCATTTGCTTCCGCACTATACCCAATGCCCCCTGATCTCTTCAATTCAGCTCCAGCACCCCAAATCCCTCCCACCTTTTACCCTCTGTCTCCCAAGAAGGAACTATATTTTGGGGGAGTGACTTGGCTCACTACCCCTCCCCCCAGTTGCCAACGGGGGGTGGTTCCCAAGCTGTTCACATTTGGTTTTAGAATCTGGAATCTTAGCTCTGAGCCCCCATCCCAGCCCTCTGACAGACTCCTATGGGGGTGTCTCTCATCAGATCTGGGGGCTTCTCCGAGGTCTCTTGGTCGTGACAGTCCAAATGGGTTCTGAGCCCAAACAGGTTGAGAACCACTGCCGTAGTGGACACCTACTGTTATCCCCATGCCCCCAAGCTTGACTGATTCTGTCCCATCCCCTCCAACCTGGTCCTGTCCCAGTCCTGTCTCTTCCCCATTCCTGCATCTTTTTTCCAGTCTCCTCACCTAGCCAGTCCCAATCTCTACTCCTCACGCTTCTGATTCCAGTTCCAGTCTCCTTGCACCAGGTTCTACTCTCCCCTTCTGGACTCTTCTTCTCAGTCCTCATCTCCCCTCCTCTCATTCCATTCTTCCCATTCCCAGCCTCCTTGCCCAACCAATACCAGTTCCCCCTCCCTCCCTTTAATTCCTTATCCCCCACAAATCTCCTTGCCCAGATAGTCCCAGTGCCCCACCCCAGCTCCTCTCCCAGCCTCTCTCCCCCATCCCTATTTATGTTCACTATCCTCACAGAGATGGCAAAACACATTCCTGACACAAAGGTTACCTCCGTACCAAATTTTGAAGTCCCTGCTCCAAAGCACAGGAGCACTACAGCTTTTCAAAGAAAACAACATTAGAATTTTTGACCTTAGGCAAAACAATGTATTTTTCTCTAACCTTGCTCTTGGAAATAGCTGACATGTTTTTGGCTGAAATTTTCCAAAAACATTCAGCCCGAGGCAGACCACATCATGGAAAATATCATCCCAAATGGTTAAAGTTTGTCAAAATTATAAACAGTTGAAGACAAGGATTTATAACAGGAAGTGTCAACCAAACTTAACACGTGGTGCTATCAGTTCCATCTATACTACTCCACTGGAGGTACTGCATCAAAAGAAAATTACACTGCAACCATCCAGGGCACTAACTTCTGCTTAATATCTTTTTACCATCCAGGGAACTTACTCCTGCTTAATGCCTTTCTTTTCCTTTCCCACATATTCTCCTCAGTCTCATGCATACTCTCAGGATATAATTTATGTTATGCTAAATTTGTCCCCCTGCAATGTACCACTTTCCTCAACTGGATGGAATGTCAGACTTGCTCAAATGTATGTGATTATGTTCTCCATGAGTGGTTAAATACAACACCAAGTACAGACCTGTCATCTCTAAAGTGCATGTGATTCTGTCACCCTCCAATTGCTGCAGCCTATAAGCTGTAAAAGTACTTCCCTAGCATGAACTCTTTCATGAGTTACCACTGGAGTTGTTCAAGAAATGCTGAACTAATGTTCAGGTTCAAGAAATGCTAAACCACATTTGAACACTAGTGGTGAAGACCTTGCTAGCGACTGTTCTTGTGCTCCCTATTTCTCTTGTGGAGTTTGGGTTCTTTGCCTTTTCTCTGATTATTCACATCCTCCATCTCCCTCCCTGCCACCTTCCAGTGATGATACCACAACCAAAAGCTGCAAGCCCAGCAGTTGTTTTAACTAACTGATCCAGCAATGAGACCGCCAGATGAGATCCTAGAGCCAGGTAGGAAATGGTTTTCCTATCTTGTGAGAATTTGAGATTTTGAAAAATATCCTCAATTCAAATCAGGATGAAAAGTCAAAATCTTTCCTTAACTAATAATTACCTTACATTATTAAATGGAAAGTCATTTTGACCCAAAAACATTTTTTTATTTTGAAAATGTCAAAATGTGACATTTAAATAATTTTGA